TACAAAGAAATGTATGGAGCGATGTTTGGTGTTGAGTGTATGACGTCACAGACACCTATGAAAATTCATAAAAATATAATACTTCCCATTGGAATATAGAAATAATAATTTAACCAGTGATTATTAAACCCTTAAAGATTATTCGATTGAAGTTTTAGTCAAATTAAATTTCGGAGGATTTTCATGTTAGTCCCCCTTTAAAGTTAATAATTTAGTTTCGAATTTCTATTTTGACAAGTTTATGTGAAAATAGAGTTGTAGGAACGGAGTTTTTAGTAGCGGAAGAGGGGGTATATCTTGTGATAAAGTATTAGAAAAAAAACAACAAGTTATTCGAAGCATGCATGCCGACTACCTTGACGATCTTTAACTTCTGTTTTCACTGCGCTCTTGTCAAGAATTTATTCTTTGCATGCTGGTACCATATAATTGCCGTGCAAGTCAGGRGCGGATCCAGGATTTTTTCTATTGGGGGAGACACCATCCAGGATTTTCGTTTTAGGAGGGGGTGCACCCTTTGCTTACAAACTCAAACCCCAATAATGCAGTAGATAACAGCTCATCTAGGGATCTAGGGGGAAGGGGAACAAAATCCCCATGCACCCCTCCCCTAGATCTGCCATTGCAAGTTAACCCCGCAACAGGATTTTTTGACATATCACTGGAAGATTCTAATAGATTTGTATATGCAACCACCATCGTGATAAGCTTGGCATTTACTGGAGAGGATGTCTCTCGAATTTTCAGGTCCAATCAGAGAAAATCATCAGTTTCCAAACTTCCGGTCAGCGAATTGTACACATATAAGATTGAATGTTGTAATATGTGGGTTAAAATGGGCCATATTTGGCTGAACATGAAATACCTGTAATTATACTTACCTGCGCGGCAGAGTAATAAATCGGATTCATTGACTAAGTGAGTACATTTGCYGAGGCCGAATGTTTGAAGATKTCTGGTCACCACAAAATCTGTCTCATTCATTTTTCCAAACTTCCGGTCAGCGGTTGAAAATGAGAACAACAACTTTAGATCAAGAATTCTTTCTTTCAAATATTCTCAAAATAAGCATATTTTTTTTACTTTGTAGCCTTCAAAAGTTCAGCATTCATGTTAAATAATAGCTTACAGGTAATTCTGTCACGAAATACAGGAATTTTGAAGCTCGAAGAAACTATAAATGCTGTATTGCTTCGAACGAGAATTCGATGACTTGTGTA